GCACCCGCTGTCACCGCCGAGAGTAGGCGAGCCCCGGGCGCGCGAGAAATACCCGAGTAAAGTACGTTTTTCCGGGCACTTGAAAGCATCCCCTGGTGTCCGTTATCGCGATAAAAATGTCCGGGTTTTGTTTGTTTGTTTTTCTCTTTTATGTGCTACAGCCTAGTTAAGAGTTATCAGGTTAGTGTTTGTTAAACTCGTGTTCTGTCAGCTCTGCCCAGTGCTCTAAAAAGCAACACAGGCAGGGCTGGCCTCCTTGCGGGGGTCAGCTCCCCACGTGTGGTGACCATGTTCTTGCTGCTGAAGTATCTGGCAGCCGAGGAGTCCTGTGAGAGCGGGATGAGGCTTTGCTGGCCATAGGCTAGGGGCCTTGGCACCTTCTCCTCGTGGGGAATCGCCTACCTGGTGAAACTGGGAACTTTGCGATGTCCAAGCCTCTTGTTGCTAAAACCAGACCACGTTTCTGGTCTTGAAAAATAACGACTGTTACAACACTTAAGTGCTCTCTGTAATGCTAAAGGAGATTACAGGTGCTTCTTTAGCAAGAGAGATATTAATTGGTATGAATTTACACTGTAAGTGACTGACAAATGACAGGTCTCAGCCATTGCTTGCTCTGTTTCTCTCTCTTCTTTTTTTTTTTTTTTTTTTTTTTTTTTTTTTTTGAAGACAGCATTTTTAAACTCTGGGGAGTTTAAAACTTTGGGGAAAAATAAATATTTTAAAATAATAGTTTAAAAGTATTAATTTATCTTTAGTAATGTATGACAGCAGTTAGATAATCCTGTACAAATATGTGGAATCGTTTAGCTGTAGCCTTCAGAAGCACAGTATTTGCTGTCTCATCATGACACAGTAATCTGAAAATGGTAGCTTAATAATTACGAGAGCTTTAGTTTGGGCTGGTTGATGCTATATAGTGGCACTGTAGATACTGAAGTCTGTTGAGTTCATACAAATCATGCGAAAGTGGTATTAAAAAGGCTATCTAGAAAGGTGATGTAATAAGAAGGAAGAATGCATCATATGAAAGTTATTTGTTTTAATGTGGAACAGTGCCAAAGTAAAAAGTTACCTTCATGTGGCAGCTGCCTTCTGCACTTTGTAAAATTCAGCATCAAAAAAGTTGGCAGTATTGTAAAACAGCCTTGTGTCAGTGGTCTTGGAAGGTTATTTAAAAGTGGTGCATACCTAATCAGTTAAGATATTTTCCTTCATTTATTAGCAGAGAGATCTGTGGTTATACATAAGACTGGCTGGTTTTGAGAGTTATTTGCTCTATTTAGAGTGATTTGTGTGCACTTTTTTTTAAGTTCAAGAGTCTAAGGCTAAGTTCTGCAGAATATGAACTTAGTCAAGAGTTTGGCTTTTTGCATGTGTTGGGAGGGGGGAATGGGGAAAACCATGTGTGCTGGGACAGAGGTTAGTTTGTATTGACTGGGGAATGCAGAGCGTGAGAGTTGTGTAGTAGTTATATGAGGCATATAATAACACTTTTCCTTAGAGGAAGAGATGACATAAGTTACATCAGAGTGTACTAAAGATGTTCCAGCTTTGTGGTTAGTTATTTGGTGGTGGTGGTGGCAGGGGGGTTCATTCTTGCCTTGCTTTTTGATTCAGTTTTTTTTTTTTTTTTTGCCCATTTTTAAATGGCTAGGAGCAAATGTTCAAACTTGTATTCACAAAAAATTCTGCTGTTTTGTGTATCAACCACTTTTACTTGTGACCAGGGATGGGTTGGCTTTGATACTTGTCAGTTCATACAAGTTCATACATTTTGGGCTCTCTGAATTGATATCAGTTGCAGCAGGAAATAGCAATTATTTTTTTTGTATATTGATTTAAAAAAGTATCCAGACAGATACAAAACACACTACTGAAAGGTGAAGTAAAGCAGTGGCTCATGAAGGGCCTTAGCCTGCAATAGGTAACAGATTTGACTTTACGTAAGTAAAGGATACCTCTACTTAGGCACTGAGTAACAATTCCTAAGCTTGTGTAAGTGGGAACCTGAGGCACTGAAGTGGCTGAAGCACTGGTGCAGTACGTAGTTAATTAGCTTGCTGAGACTTAGCAGTAATGCCATATTATGTTTAAGAAGACCCATGATCAGAATTCTACTTGGATGAATTTTTTGTCTGTGGATGCAGGAAAAATGCAACTGCAAGATAGGATCTTAATTTCCACCTTCAGGAATGGATGCCTTAAAGGCATTAATAATGTGGTACAGTGGAATAGGCAGGCAGTGAAGGACAAGGGTTAGATGCCTATGGGGGCAAAAAAAAAGTAATGAAGCTAATGAATGTATTGAATATTTAATGAATCTCTCCAAATGTTTCTAACAATGTAGCACATATGGTATTAGCATTCAACTGTGTTCAAACCCAAAAATCTCTGCATTAATAAAACTAGTTCTATTTTCTTTAGAAGTTTTCTTTAAAGATGGCATTGACCTGAAAAATACCTGAAACACAATACATAAATTACTATTAAAGTTCTTTGTGAAAGAGGAGAAGAAAACAAGTAAGTAGAGTCTACTAGTTTGAACAAGTTTCAGGCAGAAACTATGAAGGAAGAATGTTCTGTGGTTAAAGGAATGGTGCCATTAGTTTACTGTTGGTCCTCCTTATGCACCTCTGAATCACTGTATTTCTGTGCAAATATAATATAACTATACTGGAATATGAAAAAAATATTTTATAGGTGCGGGACTGCATTCAAAAAACACTGAGTGAATGGAGCACAAAGATTGGACAAGATCTAAATCAGGTAGGAGATGTATTAGATCTCATGCATGTGTGTCATGTGACCAGCTAAATATTTTTTCTTTTCATATCTTTTAAAACATAATTAATCTATTAAGCTTCTATAAATGCATCTGCAGCTCCAGTTATCTTCTTAACTCTTCTTTTTCTTAATGTTTCTTAAACTTGAAAAGGCTAGGAAATACTGAGTTAAATCATGCATGTTGTCATGTGACCAGCTAAATATTTTTTTCTTTTCATATCTTTTAAAACATAATTAATCTATTAAGCTTCTATAAATGCATCTGCAGCTCCAGTTATCTTCTTAACTCTTCTTTTTCTTAATGTTTCTTAAACTTGAAAAGGCTAGGAAATACTGAGTTAAACATTTGTGTTGATGAGAAGGACATTTCTTAGTAAAATAGATGTCCTAGTTAGTAAGATTGCAAGCTTATTATTGCGGACATTGCAAAGGGCATTTGCTAGTGTGTTTATAGAAAAGTGTCAATTGACAATTTTCTAAACTTTGACTCTTTCATGGAGATGATAAACTAGATAGTTGAAAATTGCCCAGTTTGAAGACAACTCAAAGTGTAGCCTTGGCTGTCTCGGAAATATTCCTGAAGATTCACAACTAGCTGTTTTTTATGTCTTTGAGAGCTAAAGGTTGATGGGTAATAATTAAAATGAAGATCCTGGCCAAATGACATCAAGATCTAGTGTACTTGCCTCCTCTTATTTTTGCTTATTATTCTTACTATTATTTCCACATAATAAAGCGGTAAGGAGCTTCTACCGAATACATTATTTGCTCTGCAAGATATTAACATTTCACTTAAAAAGCAACTTTCCTGACCTTTTTTTTTTTTCTTCTTCCATTCATGCTCATTGGTTCTTGACTAATGATGGCATAACTAATGGCTGTTTTCCACATGGAGTGTGGTGAAACAAGTTATTGCTGTATGATTTCTATGGAAGCTCAAATGATCACTAGAGAAGTAAAGATAAATAGATAAACACTATAGATAAACACTATGTCTGCATAAGATGTAGCAATCCTTTTAAAATTTTTAATGTAAATTAAGTTTTTTCTTAAAATATTAACTGCGTAATTATGAATTATTTTATGAATTATACTGGTTTCTGATCATTCAAAAAATCTTATTTTGTAAAACTTTTTTATATGAGAGCAGGAATTATTGAAGAGTTTGCATATGCACACATATATATGTATATAAAGAAAAGCACAAACCTTGTGTACATAAAGCTTCAAGAAAAGTCATTTTGTACCAGCTGACCTAAGATTTCAGTCTAGCCTTAGATGTGGACAGTGTGAAACCTCAAAAATGTTCCAAATTCTCAATATAGTTATTTTATAAAAATGTTTGTTTTAAATCTGTTTTCAACACTTTCGTGTTTGGGTTCCTTTAAATTACAAAGTAGTCTTATAAAGCATTCTTTTTTCTTCTTCTTTTTTCATTATTTTTAGCAAGACATTTTCAATATTAGTGATATGTTCACATCAGAAAAGTAGAACTCTGCTAAAGCTTATTGAAACAACACTGCTCAGTAATTCACTTCTGACATTAGGGACATATAGGTCATTTCACACATCTTTTTCCTCTGCTCTCCTCATAGAAGTCAAGCATTGGATTAGTTTCTTCTTTTGTGTCACTGCACTCTTATACTACTTTTGTTTCTAACTGATGCAAGTCTTTCTTGATGAATCTCACTTAAAAGTGTTCTTGAGCTTCATACTGTCTTCTGGTGATGCATTGTTACTAAATCTAGTGTGCTTGCTACAGGAAGCACTGGAGGTTCTGGAATGTACTGTAGCTCAAGCTATTGAAAAAATAAACCCTGAAGAAAGAGATGAGTTGAAAGTGTCAGGTAAGAACAGAGTCCAAAAATAAATCCAGTGGTCATAAAAAGGTTTCATATGTTGTTACTAATAGTTTTCATATATTTTTCTTGTTTTGTAATGGCTAAGTAAAATAACAGTAATACATACTGTCCTACTTAGCTTTGGGCAATCTAGATTTTGGCCAAGAAAGTCCAGGATTAATACTTTGGATATTAAAAGCTCCACATTCTTACACTATAACTTCCATCTTCTCAACTGATCTTAAATGTATTTTGTGAATCTTAGTTGACTTTTCTGATGCAAATTATTAAAGCTAATTCTGCAATTAAGAAATAGCATTGGAAGCACATTTATTTGCATAACTTTTCCAGGTTGAATATGATGAACTTGAAGGAGGCAGTCCAAACTAGCACTAGTACATTTTGAGTCTCAGTAAGTTGTGAAGAGGTCTGTTTGTGCTGTTATGTTTGGGGCTTTATAAACAGGATGTTATGATTCCCCCTCAATGTTTCAGTGTTTAAAGTCTAGTTTTATGGCTTATTCAGATCATCCATTAGATGTTTTGCTGTTTTGAGATTACACAAACTTTTAGAGAACAGTGTTTTTATTAGTCACCTTTCAGAACAATTTTTCAGTTTTCTGAAGTGGCTAGTATACATGAGTTTTTGGGGAGAGGGTTCTTAAGAATGTATAGTGTATATAGCAAAAGTAGTAAATATCTGTTTGGTAATGGCTGGCTTGTCTTAGTTACTGATTTCAGTTTCTTTGAAAATAGCAAAACTTTTCATCGTTGGATCAAACTCTGCATCAATCAGAGATGCAGTTGGCATGGGTAAGTATGAGACTCCTACATCTGATAGTAGGGCTTCATTCTGATTTTAATCTTTAGGATCAGTGCTATAAGCAGCTGACCAAGTAGTTAAGTTTTACTGAAAATAATATACGATGGCTGTACTGATGTCTGAAGTCCTGTTGTCTACCATAGCTGTGGTTTTGAGCAATACAAGCACTGAACTTTACCACTTTGGAAGATTAGGCCTGAGGGATTCTTAAAGAAAAGTGTTGGGCATTATTCTGTTCTAGCTATGTCCTGGTTAATAGTGTCTTTACTCTAAATCATAGTATGAATTGCTAAAAATATGCTGACAGAGTCATCTTGCAAGAGAATATTTTATTTAGTAACTCTAGTTTTACTCTTTTTACTATGCAGAAAAGAAACCTCAAAGCTTGCATCCTTTATAAATCTCTGTGACATTCCAAGGCTCGCTGTTTCTCTCTTGAAGTTTAAATTCTCGTAATGGGGCATAGGTCTTCTGATCTGTGTCTTGTGTTTGGGGTGTAACTGGTGGAGAAAGTTAGCTAAACTTAGTAAGAAATTGATGACTATCAATTCCTTCTCAATTCGATCACTGTCTTGAGGAAAAATATATTCTCAAATGATGAAGGCTGAATTATTAGAGTGAAAACTGGAAGTGTTTCGTGTATTGTGTGTGGTGTTTCTTTTCTTTTTTTTTTTTTTTTTTTAGTATCATTGTACTTAGGTTCTTGCGCACAATTTTGCAGTATTTTTGTTCTCTTTCCTCAGCATGCTCTGCACTGGGAGTTGCTCAGTTAGATTCTGTCATTATCGCCCCACCTCCTATTGAAGATGGAATTAGCCTCTCCTTGGAGTATTTACAACCGTATTGGCAAGAGCTCGAAAATCTAGTTCAAAACAAAAAGATTGTTGCCATAGGTACCTCTGACTTAGATAAAGTACTGTTAGAGCAGCTGTATCTATGGGCACAGGTGAGAACAACCTTCCTATTTGTAGCATTTCTGAGACAGTTACATTGATGGCTACATTGTTATAATTTTTTATTGTAAATAGTCTTGTATAGAAAATATAAATTAGCCACGTTATTTTCATGTATTACCGTTTGTCACTATGTTGTTTATGAGGGAGTATTCAAGTGTGGTAATCACTTGCTCTGTGCTCTTACATGAAAGCCAGCAAAGACTGGAAACTGGATCTATTCGGTAACAGGTGTTTTGAAGTAACAAAGGTTTGAACCTTGAATGCTCTTATAATTGGAAAGGATCATAAATAGTATTGGAAAGGAATATAAATATACTTAAAAAAAATTGTTTTATTTCAGTGACTAAGGGCATAGCCTTTTTCATTTCCAGCTTTATTACTCTTGGAAGGACTTTTCTTTAGGAAAATGCTGCTTAAGTGATAAACTAAATATAAGAAGGAAAGCAGACTATAAATCAAGAGGCATGAAGTTTTTTGTCCAGTGTGGCTGTTTGCCTCTAGCCATGTTTGAGTGATGGAGGTCTGTAGTAGTATCCTTGTGTAAGCTTGTGAATATACTGTTTTCTGATTCTTTGAAGGCTTTTCTTACTCTTTCTGTTGTTTGTTTTTCCCCGCTATTTTATGCTCTTTTGCAGTTTATGAGCATACTGTATCTGCATAAGAGGCTATACTAAAAATCTTCATTTGTAGTCATCACTGTTGCATATATTGAGAGGAGAATAGTTGGAGGCATTTGTGGACACTTAGATGATGATTGGGGTGTAGCCTTTGAGTAGAGTTGGTAGAGGAGATTCCATTATAACTTAATCTGATTTAGGCACTTGGACTTGAAAGATACCAAATTATCCAGTTAAAATCCAGTTACTTAATGAATTGGGTGTCTTTTTTTGCAGTTTATAGCCCCTGTAATGTTTTTGCTAGGAAGTGTAAAAAAAAAAAAAAAAAAGCTGTTCTAGGGAGCACAGCAGACTAGAAGCCAGAATGCACTGGTAGATGTTTCACTGTAGTAGTATTTCTGTTAAAATAGAGGGTATTGGGAAACAACTGAAATAGTACATTCATTTTTTTTCTTATAAAAATATTCTGTTACTTTCAGGTGAAACCAAGTAGTAACCAGGTAAATCTAGCTTCCTGTTGTGTTATGCCCCCTGACCTCACAGCATTTGCGAAACAATTTGACATACAGCTATTAACTCACAATGATCCAAAAGGTAAGACTTTACCAGATACTTTAATAGAAGACTTCAAAAAGTTTGTATTCTGTACCAGATGTGGATTAATTTTTCTTTGAGTTTCAAATGTTGTTACATTTGAATCCAGCACAAAGAATTCTAAGTATACTCTTATAAAATATTTCTATTAAGTTCCTCAGTCTTTGTTGCTACAAAGATCGAAGCAATCTTCTGGACTAGGATCCTCTTTTGAAATAGCTCTAACTGGAGGATTAAAAAAGCAAATGGAATAAAGCATTGGGAACTATGTACTGCATATTGTTCAAAAATTGTTTATTTACAGACAAAAAATACAGAATTAAATGAGCTGTATTGCTGAAGTTCAGTAATTGGTAATAAATGTGAGATACTTGCAGAAACTTTGTTTGAAATAGCTTATGAAGTAGCATTCATGGAGAGTTGATTTTGATAATTTAGTTTTGATTGTTGGAGTGAAGCAGTGACTTCTTAAAAATCACATTGTTATGAGAAGTTAGTGTAAATTCTGTGTCTTTTAGAACAGTGTTTTTTTTATTTTAAGATGACTTTGAGACTTTCCTTTAGATTCTAGAACTGAGTTACCAGCTCCCTAGAATACTGTGGGATCTTGCATGAGCTTCTCTTGTGCCTTGTCTAATGTTCCTTGATATAATATATTGCTAAGTATATTGCTGGAATTGCAAACCAACAATATCTTGCTCATTCCCTGACTGTTTTCTTCATGACCAGCTGTTTAGAGTGTTCTCTTTTTTTTTTTTCTCTTGTTTTCTCCTCTTCCTTACCTTTCCCCTTATCTCTTCCCCCCCCAAAAAAGGAGATGGGAAATATATATATAATTCAAACTGTCATAATCCCCCTGTCATTAGTAATGAGTTCATTCAGTCTTGAGTACATATCAGAACTTGCTACTGCAGCACAGAAAATGAATGGCAATTTTCTCTGGCAATTTTCATCTCCTGTGAAGTCCAAAATGAAACTTGCAATTTCATACTGTACCAAAATAGTCTTGAGTATAAAATACTCAAAATACAGTCTTGAAGTAGAGGAGAGGATTTGGAGTAGAGAACAAAGCAAGGAGTGGTTTTTTTTTTTTTTTCTCCTCCTTGTGTTGCTTGTTCATGTTAGTTTTTCTGTTCTGGACTGCTAAAGAATATGGAGTGACTGTTTGGAACTCTCCTCTTTCAAAAACTTGTTTCTTTGATTGTTTTGTACCCTCTTTCCTTTTCCACTTTGTGGTATTTCAAGATTGTTTAAGCCCACTTTTCTCAATTTTGGTGCAATAGAAACATTGGTAGAGCAGCAGACTCTACCTGGCTCACAAATAAGCCCAATTATGGGAACATTTCTACATCTTGAGACATCTGAGCAAGTTCAGTACATTGCTAATTTCAGCCTTGCTTTTTACGCACCTCTGATTTGTCTAGCTGACTTCTCAAACCTAATTTTTGGTACATCCCACCAATTGTTCTGCTGTTAGACTCTTCTTAATCTCGGTTTAAAAAAAAACAAGTCCCAAATACTTAGTTCTGATTGCTACTGATATGGCAAAATCAAGTGTCTTAAATTTCTTTAATATTCAGGAGCTTACCCCACTTTCAGAAGAATTGAACTATTTGGTGCAGTTTAATATTTTTGACTGTAGGCAAAAGCCTCTCTTACTGAGTGTTATTTTTTTCCATCTGCTTACATAACATTATTTAAAGCTTGAATATCCTTTTTTAACTTTAGAATTGCTCTGTGAAGCAAGTTTCCAAGAAGTTCTCCAGGAAAGCATCCAGACCACGAAAGCCCACGAATGGATTCCTCTATGGCTTCTCCGGTATTCGGTCATTGTTAAAAGCAGAGGAATTATCAAGTCCAAAGGCTTTATCTTACAGGCTAAAAGAAATGCCTCTTAAAACACTTCCTCATTTTTACAATAACTTGCTGTTTTAACTTCTTGGGGACAAGGGGAACATTGCTGCTTTTGTAGGAAGATTTCACAACAGCTGTAACAAAGTCCAAAAGTTGTAATTTTTCAGAGTGGTGTCAGCAGAAGTGTCTGCCGTGTTCTGATACTTGTTTTATTTCTTAACCTACTCACCAGTTCATTTAAAATATGAAATATTTTGTTTTCATTAAACTCTTTCCTAACTGAAATTCTATGTAAAGAAAATGTTCAAAATATTTTTCTTTTGTAAGACCACTGCACTGTAAAACTATCACTGTATTTTAGCTACCCTCAGGTAGTATTTAAAAAAAAAATGTATATTTTATTTTTTAACAAGTTGAATTTCTTTTAAATAATAGCTACTAACTGGGTAGGTACCTAGAGTTCAGACTTTCAAAGACTAATTTGTATAGATAACTCTCATCTATCATGAAAAATTATTTGAAAAAATAAATTGATATGTCATTAATGTAGGCACATCAGCTGATTAATTTGTGTGGATGGGAAAATTGGTTCATTTTTAATACATTATAGAAAACTTTTATTTTGGGAGCGAGGAGAAAGCATCTTCAGAGTTACTTTGAGTGTTACTTGAAGTCCTCCTGGCTTCTTGGTGCCTCTAATTTTTGTAGAAGGGCAGTTTGAAGTAGAAAATGTAGAAAATGTTTTTGCTGTGATTACTTAAAGTAAGAGCTGGAAACAAGTGATGAAAAACCTATAAATTGGAAATCATAATGCAACTGGTTTATTCTCAACTGTGGCACTTTTTTTTTTTTAAATTCAGGAGCCACAGAAGAGAGGGTAACTGTGAGGCTGCTTGTTACATGAGTGGCTGACTTGGAGGTTGCCTAGGGAGCTTTGCTTGAGTGCCATTCAGCAATGGCACTGGCGTTAGCTTCAAGCCGTGCGCACCGCTGTGTGCCGCGCTCTTCGTGCGGTCTGTCCCGCGGGCTCCTGCGCCCGGGAGGCTGCCGCGGCTCGGGCAAGGCTGCGCGTTCAGTGTTGCCTTTCTCTTGAGCAGCCCTTTCTGCTTCTTGGGCCTATACATCAAAATAAATACCGAAACTGAAACTTGTAGTTTGGCAGGAGCTTGATGCTACGCTTCTAAAATCAAATAAGCATTTTCTTAGTGACTTTAGATGTTAACAGGGCTTTCTGCTAGTGCTTGTTAACTTAATTTTACGTGTTTTGAGCTTTGGGCTGTGAGGGAGTTAATTTCCACTATGTTGTCAGCTAGTGGCATTTTAATGCTTGTAGGCACTGTCTGGAAGTATCAGCTTACTATAATACATTCCATTAATTCAAAACATTAATTATCAAGACATTTTCGAATCTTTAAATATCTGTATGTGGCAAATTCTAGGAAGCTTTCCTAGGCTACTTCAGTTGTTTTGTTAAATAGCAGAGAGAGAGAGCTGGAGCTAGTAATGAAACAAGAAAATGTTTGAGTGTATGTTTTGTTTGTTTTCTCTTAACCAAGATTTAGTCCTTTTTTATGGAGGGTTATTATGTATCAGATTTGCAAAATAAGATGAGTTTTGCTTCAGACTTCTCTGCCAGCCTAGAGCCGTGTGCTGCTGGGGACTAACCACTCTGTAAGTGCTGTGTGTGTGCCGTGAGCTGCCGACATCCTGCGCTGTGTCGGGCTTGCTGGTGTGCTCTGTATTACACGTTGAAATACTGCAGAACAAGAATTGTGCTGAAACAGTGTACAGATTGTCCTAACGGGATAATTATTTATTTCCTTACTGTAACAATTCTCTTGCTATAGAAAAGTACGGTAAGAGATCTTATTTTTGTAGGGTCACAATTTATCAGAGTTGCTGATATTGACTTGTTTTGCATTAAAGTGAGAGAGATGGGATTTCCTTTCATGGGGAACTTGAAAATTTGAATTAAAAAATGAAAGTTATGTACACTTTTTATCCATGCTTTGTATGAATTGTGAGTTTCTGGGGAGAGCAGGGGCGGGAGCCCCCGCCGGCCCTGGGCTCGCTCGGTGCGGGGCTGCTCTT